AGCAGAGCCCGACCCCCCCCACCACTGCACCCTCCTGTCAGGGAGCTGGAGAGAGCAAGGTCTCCATTTCCCTGTGGGAACCAGCACAGGAGCAACAGGACACTCATTCTTAATTAAAAAAAAAAAGTGTTCCCAAGATACCACCACTCATTCCTTCGACATTCCATGTTTTATTGAGTTTGGCTGGATCAAGGGTTGGTCGTGTGGTTTGTGAATCCAACAAATGCTGCAGAACTGCCTGGGAAGCCCCTCGTGTTGGAGCAGGGAGAGAGAACAGGAGCAGTGATGGGACATGAGCTTTAAGAGACCTAACAACTAGCTGGGTGGAGAAATGCAGCTCTGTGAGAAAGAGATGGCAAGTGACCTTCAGAAATGGCAAGTGACCCTCAGAAATGGCAAGTGACCCTCAGAAATGGCAAGTGACCCTCAGAAATGCATGTGACCCTCAAAAGATGGCATGTGACCTGTGGCCAAGGACAGCACGGACCCCACTGCCAGAAAACTGCCTGAGAAACTGGACTAAATGAGTGAATTTAACCCAGAATAAAACCCAGGGCAGCAGCTCTGCCACCCCTGGCCAGACTGCAGAGGCACCTTCAGCCAGTGCCACACTCTGGCCTGTCGGGCTGAGGGAGAAGAGCAACTCTCTGGGTACCAACACACCCACCACCCCTCTGCTCCTTCCAAAAGCTCTTTGGAAAGGGCAGAGGAGGGGACCAGGAGAGGAAGCAGCAGTGGGAGGGTCTGGCAGGAGGTGGGCACACTCCAGGTGCCTCAGCAGCTGCTCCTGTGCCCTGGCAGACACTGAACACACCCACACGAGGGGGGTCTCCTTGCTGTGCCTTCCCCAGCCAGGGAACAGGGATCAGCCAGGTGTGCTCCTTCCTCTGGGACACGAGTGCAATGTAAGTCCCTGCTTGGATTGCCCAGGACAGACCTGGATGTGGCCCCAGCACCCGCCCTGTCCTCGGTCCTGCCCCCAGGGACCCATGTGAGGCCACGCCAAGGCACTGAAGTTCCTGGGACAGCCAGCTACTAAAGCAATACCTACAGCCCTTGCCCCTATCCATGCCTGTGCCCAAGCCCACGGATGGGGAAGCTACACTACCCCTCCCTGCCCCTGCCCCAGCCCCCTCCCGTTCCATGGGACGCTCCCATCCCAGCAGGCTCCAGCCGTGTGGAACGGGGAGATCCCTTAGGAGCCACACATGAGACACTCCTCCCTGTTCTCCAGGGAGCACACCATGGCTGCCTTGTTCCTCTCCTTCTCCTCCTCCTCCCGGGAGCTCTTCTCGCGCTCCCGCAGCTTCTCCTTGTTCAGGGTGAACTGGATGGGGTTGGCAGCCGGCTTTGTCCGCAGGTAGTACATGCCTGTCTTCAGGCCCTGGGCACAGCACAAGGACACAGCCCGAGCTGGAGCCTCCCAGGCAGGCTGGCAGCCCCCAGGAACCACGGGAGCAGCAGTGCAGGCACCCCAGAGCCACTGCCCTGGGGCTGCTCCGTGGGGACACCGGGGCCTTGGCCGGGAACAGCCCTTTGCCCTTCCCACAACTGGGGAGACCAGTTTGTCGGGCCAGAACTCACCAGCCCCCAGGGGCTGCACTTATCCCACCCCCTCTGGCTGGAACAAGCCCCTCCAGCCCCAGGTACCACCCCCATTTTTTGGGAACAAGCCCCCCAACCCCAGGTACTGCCCCTGTTTGTCAGGAAGGAGCCCCGCCAATCCCAGTTACCGACCACATTTATTGGGAACAAGCCACCCCAATCCCAGGTACTGCCCCTGTTTGCTGTGAGCAAGACCCCCAATCCCAAGTATTGCCTATTTACCAGGTACAATCCCCCCAGTCCCAGGTATCACCCCCATTTGTCAGGAACAAGCCCTCCCAGTCCCAGGTATCACCCCTGTTTGTATGGAACAAGCCCCCCCATTC